AATAAAATTTCTATCTCACATCAAGAATTAAAACTCAAGCAAAATATTGTTGCTAGTTAGACAAAATATAGTCATAAATCTATATCTACAATTGCTTGACTTCGATAAGATTTTATAGTTAATTTTAATCAGTTTTTTAGCTCAGTGTAGTCACATTTCCTCATTGTAGCTTCCTATGTGATTGTTGTACTTGCTATAAGATTTACTCAGAGCTATTTTTGTTTATATTACCAGGCGGGGGGCTTGTCCAACAGGCGGGTGTTTGATGACAAATAGACTTATCAGAGCATCAAAATGTCAAGTGCAAGTAAAACCAGTGTAAACCTGAGTTTAAGATTATAATTTGAGGCACAATATTTAATTTAGATAGGAATAGAGAAAAGCAAAGAGAGAGGAGCACACAAAGTAAATGCTGAGCTTAGGTTGTCAATCAACACTTTTCCTGCCAAACAAGATAAACTCAGGTGGGTTGCGTGGATTGGGTGGGGTATCTCTTAATATTTGGCAGACATTCTGTCGCTGCTGTAATATGCAAATTCCATAATATGCAAATGAAACGCTTTGTGGCTTGTACGCTAAAAGCTAAAAGCCAAACAATAAACATGGCAAAATTGGCAACACACACACACACACACACTGGCATGGTGTTGCATATTACTCAACTGGCAGGCAACGGCGAACGGAAGTGATTAAGAGAAGCAACAAGTGGACAGCTATCAGCAGCAGATACATCTACAAGCGGCTACAAGCAGCTAATGTATCTGACGGATGCCTGCGCCCGAAGAAAGTGAAGAAGCTGCGTTTTGTCGGCTATAATCAAATGTGAGGCGTTGGGAACTAGACAAAAGGGTCGCTTATGCAAATGCCAGCCAATTGAGAGATACAGATACAAATACAGCCAGCTAGAGATACAGATACATTGGCTACAGCTGTTTTTGGGTGATGTAAGCGGCCAAAATGTATTTAGTTTTTTGTTTCTTTTTTTTTTGCTCTTAATTTATGTAAATGTGCAACTTGTCAGCATTTCTACGTCGGCTTTCTTTTGACTATACAAGTTCAGAAATACTCAAATATGTACATATATATATATATATATAAATATATATTTATATATATGTTGCTTTTAGGCACATTTTGGCCAGCGTTTTACCGTTAGAGCAACACCTTTTGTCCCATTCCGGGGGTGGCCAAGCCGCAAATTGCGCTTGTTAAAAAAAACACGGCAAAAAAAAACGAAAAAAATGGTTAAAATTAGTTTAGCACTTTTTGAAAGTTGTCGACAACATCCGTCGCCCCCGCCCTCACCCCGCATGCCTCCTCTTTGGCTCTTACGCTCTTTGGCTCGCTGCACACAAAACTGAGGCTCGACTTTGACTGAAGACTGAACTCTTCAAAGCTGAAAACTGAAAACTGAAATCTGAAACATAAAACTCTTTATAATTGCACTGTAAACATTTCACTTTCGTTTTTGTTTTGTCTCTGGCAAACTGTTTTAATACCCGTACAGAAAATAAAAACACAAAATGTTGTCGCCGCGCATCGTGCACAGAATAATTTTTCGGCTGCTTTTTATTATTTTTTGTATTGTTTTTCGGAGCAGCCACTTTCGCCATGTGGGTGCTGCGATGATGATGAGCTGGCGAGATGTGTAGTTGATGCCGTCGAGGACTCAATTAGCAGCCCGTTTCAGATTTGCATAATGTTTGGTCGCGCAACGCTCAAACGAGACTGCCAAATCGTGGCCTGCGTGAGCAGCCGATGACCCGCAGCCGATGACCTGTCGCCCACCCCTGCCAAGCTGCCTCAGACTATCTTAGGCTGCCTCAAACTAACGATTGACATTTGCTAGACATTTTGTTGGGTTGGGCCAAAGGCAATTTCATATGCTTATTAGCTTCGTACACGTGACAGAAGTTTGCCACGAAAATTTCCCAACATCTCCAGTTGCAGTCGAGTGCAAAATATTGAAGTTAAGCGGAAAAAACATTTTAGCTGCATTTTCTCTTTGTTTGTTAAATATGTTAAGCCTACCCTCAAATATACTTTAAATTTCTTTAAGTTCTTAAGGAAGAATTTCAAATTTATACAAATAAAATAAAAAAGATTCTTTCAACAACTTTTAATTCTGAGTAAATTTAATCTGTATAAATTTATTTAAATAAAACCCATTCTTTGCTTGCAGATCCAACTCAAAGGCCTCGTATCTGCCGCGTCAGAGCCTGGAAAAGCTGAACAACACGGATCCGGACCATGGCATTTATAAGCTAACGCTCACCTCCAACGAGGATCTGGTGGCGCACAACAAGCCCAGCTATGCGGTCGGTGCTGGCAAACTGAAGTTGCCCAACAATTTGCCGGATGTGCTGCCGCTGGGCGTGAAGCTGCAACAGCAGCCGGTCAAGCCGCCGCCGCCGCCCAGCTCGCCCGGGGATGTTGTCGCTCTGCGCTATGGCTCCAATAATAACCTCGCAACGAAATCGCCAACGAATGCCACGCCCACAGCTGCAGGTGTTGGCAATAATACGGCCTACGCCATGATCTATGGACAGGCGCCGCAGCAGCCGCAGCCGCAACAGCCGCAGCCGCAGCAGCTGCAACAACGCTACTCATCGCCTGCGCTGGGCCACGCCTACGGCAACAGCAGATCGCCAGCGCCGCATTTTACGCGATCTCAGTCGTACGATGTGAAGCAGCAGCAGCCGGCGAACGATCCCACGCAGTTCATGTCCCAGTCACATGTCGATCTAAAGCAAGCCGTCCATGACCTCGAGACGACGGTGGAGGAGGTGTCGCTGCCAGGAACACCGCCGCTGCTCTCGCCGGCCAACTCCGATTGCAGCCTGAGCAACAGCTCCCTGGAGTGCAGTCCAGTGAATGTGAAAAACAATATCAATGGCAATCCCGAGGCGCACATCTTTCGCGCCGAACTAATTAGCACAACGACGACAGCGACACTCCCAAAGGCGGCGCCGCCGCCGCCGCCGCCCGTGAATCGACAGGAGTCGCTGCGCGAGAACATCGAGAAGATCACGCAGCTGCAATCGCAGCTGATGTCAGCGCACCTGTGCGACTCCGGACTGCTGGGCAGCTATGCCAAGCCGCTGAGTGCCAGCAGCACAGAGGCACCACCGACCACAGAACCGCCGCCCAGCCCACCGCCTAGCCAGGAGCAGTTGGCGGAGCTGGAAACTGAATCCCAGCCAGGCTCACCCATGGATGCCAACACGGATAGTCTTAAGCTGATGCAGCGCAGCGAATTGGTGCTTATTGTTAATCCTACGCCCAGCACCGCGGACATGGCATGCCAGACAGAGGATTTGCTGGACAATGAACTGGTGGCGACGCGCGAGGAGCAGCAGACGCGCACGACGCTGCAGCCACGCCAGCGTCAGGCCATTGAACTGGAATACGAGAATCTGGCCCTGGAGCTGATCAAGCAGCTGGCGCCCAACGACAAGCTCATCGAAATATTGACACCAAAAAGCTACAAGCCGACGACGCAGTACGTCAACAATTTGTACAATCCAAATGTGCAGCTGCGTCCGTCCAAGCGAGATGTGGGCACTACGACGCTGATGCGCATGAAAGGAGCCAGCGCCACAACGACGCTGATGGCGACAGCGGAACTCCAGCGGGTCAGCGTGGAGCTGCAGCTGGCAGACGACACAGGCGATGCGGAGTGCACGAATGTAATCAAACAGAAGCTGGTAAGTAAAGGCCCTGGCCAGTCGAGGCTGCTTAACATTCAAACCTAATGCCAATCCCTTTGCAGGATGAGCTGATCAAGCAGTTGAACCAAAAAATTGGCGCACTAAAGCGCGAGCAGCAAACCATTGTCGACGAGTGCACCATCAATGATAAACTGGGCCTAGATTTGCTGGCCAAATTAACGGAGAAGGTGCGTCCCAGCGAAGCGTCCAAGTTCCGCACCTACATCGATGATGTGGGTCACATAACCAGCCTGTTGCTGTCGCTGTCGGAGCGCCTTTCCCAAACCGAATGCAGTCTAGAGGTGCGTGCGCCCAGCAGCCAGCAGGAGAAGGTAAACAAATTGCACTACATTTTAACCAAAACTCTTTTAACTAACTTTTTTTCTCCATTTATACAGAGTACGCTGGAAGCCAAACGCGATCGCCTCTATGAGCAACTGGAGGAGGCGCAGCGCCTCAAAGCGGACTTTGACAGGCGTGGCAGCAGCATTGCCAAGCTCTTTGGCAAACATCTCAGCGCCGACCTGTGCGCCGACTATGATTATTTTATCAATATGAAGGCCAAACTCATTGCCGACGCACGCGACCTGTCCGACAGGATTAAGGGCAGCGAGGAGCAGCTGGGCGCCCTCAGCGATGCGCTAGTCCAAAGCGATTGCTAAAGCTTTTAGCTCTCACTCAATTTTCCGTGCTGTCAACTCAAAGTTGAGAGTGGTTTGCGAGAATTGAGCGCTGCCTCTGTAGTCGCCGGTCGGGGTATTGTGTGTATTAACTTAAACATGTGCTTAAAATTCAACCACACACACACACACTATAATGTATAAATATTTTATGTTCATTTGTGATTTTCAATTAGCTTGTAGGTTAAACTATATATCAACCGCATATGTGTAAGCAATTTTTTACATAATTATCAAAAGCAAAGATAAACTGTATGCATTAATAAATATTTTAAAATATAAGTTTTCAAAATGTTTTTAAAAGGCTGGCGCGCTAAAAGTCGTACAACAGCGCTGTCTGGCAATACCTTGGCGTTGCCACTACTGCACAACACCTGTTATTGCTTACAAATATCGTATGTTAAACATAACTATCGCAAAAAGTATCGAGTAGTATCGATAAAATCGATAATCTAATTGGAAATTTTCCATTTGCAAATAGTTATAAGTAATTATAATTAGTGTTAGCAAATTCGGCGTCTTAAAATAGGAAACAATCATAGATGGGGCAAGCATTGATCTGTGTTTAGTTTTAACTATTTAGTAATCGTGTGTAATCGATAACTTACATTGCTTATCAATTCAGTCAGCTGATGGAATGCCCTTTCCATTAAGCATTATCAAGTAAATTGCTATGTTTAGAGGCAAAACACTCTGCCAAACCTGGATAAGAAGCGCTTTCGCATTTACAGCGCCTCAAAAACAATTACAGCGTAGTTGGCTGATAGACGAGTAAGTTCTAATCATATTTGGCATTAATCACAATTGTTAACTCCAATTTGATGCCAAAGACAATTACTAAACCGTAGCAGAGCATCAATAGCACAGACGCAGCAGCACCTGTTTCGTGGCATGGCTACGGGTGGCGAGACAAAGGCGCAGTCGCCTAAGCACGTTAACCGATTGGCAGCCTCCAAGTCGCCATATTTGCTACAGCATGCGCACAATCCCGTCGACTGGTGAGTATACCCAAAAGAGAATAAAGTAAGCTGCCAACTCACAGGCTTGGACCCTTCTTTTCAGGTATCCCTGGTGTGAGGAGGCATTTGAGCGTGCGCGTACCGAGAATAAGTTGATTTTCCTGTCTGTGGGCTACTCGACGTGCCATTGGTGCCATGTCATGGAGCACGAATCGTTCGAGGACGCCGACACGGCAGCCGTGATGAACAAACATTTTGTAAACATCAAGGTGGACCGAGAGGAGCGACCCGATATTGACAAGGTCTATATGCAGTTTCTGCTCATGTCCAAGGGCAGCGGCGGCTGGCCCATGAGCGTTTGGCTTACGCCCGATCTAGCACCCCTCGCAGCTGGCACTTATTTTCCGCCCAAGGCGCGGTAAGGCATAAAACATTCCATATTCAAAATGAACACCTAGTTTCTAATGGCTTCTCCGCTTATTGGCGCAGTTATGGCATGCCCTCGTTCACTATGGTGCTGGAGTCCATAGCCAAGAAGTGGCAAACGGATCGCACATCACTCAAGAAAGCGGGAAGCACGCTGATGGAGGCCATGCGAACCAATCAGAATGCTGGAACCGACGGCGAAGCCGCCTTTGAGCCTGGCAGCGCTGATGCAAAGCTTGCGGAGGCGCTGACGGTGCACAAGCAGCGCTTCGATCAGGAGCACGCCGGCTTTGGCCGTGAGCCCAAGTTTCCGGAAGTGCCGCGTCTCAATTTTCTGTTTCACGCCTATTTGGTCAGCAAGGATGTGGACGTGCTGGACATGGTGCTGCAAACTTTGGATCATATTGGACGCGGTGGCATTAATGACCACATTTTTGGTGGATTCGCTCGTTATGCGACCACGCGAGACTGGCATAATGTCCACTTCGAGAAAATGCTGTATGATCAGGGCCAGCTGATGGCGGCGTATGCCAATGCCTACAAGCTAACACGCAGCAAGGAGTTCCTGGGCTATGCGGATCGAATTTACGAATACTTGATTAAAGACCTGCGTCACCCGGCGGGCGGCTTTTACGCTGGAGAGGATGCCGACTCCTTGCCTACGCATGAGGACACCGTAAAGGTGGAGGGTGCGTTCTATGCCTGGACCTGGGATGAAGTGAAGAAGGCCTTCGAAGCGCAGCAAGCGCGCTTTAATGATGTCAGTCCGGCGCGTGTCTTTGAAATTTATTGTTTTCACTATGGCATGAAGCCGGCGGGCAATGTGCCACCTGGCAGTGATCCGCACGGCCACCTGACGGGCAAGAATATTCTGATAGTGCGCGGCTCTGAAGAGGACACGTGCTCGAATTTCAACATGGAGATGGCACAACTCTCCCCATTGCTGGAGACAGCCAACGATATTCTTCACAAAGTCAGAGATCAGCGTCCGCGGCCTCATTTAGACACCAAGATCATATGTGGCTGGAATGGCCTGGTGCTGTCCGGTCTCTCAAAGCTTGCCAACTGTGGAACGGACAAGCGGGATGCGTATTTGGCCACAGCCAAGCAGCTCGTGGAGTTTTTGCGCACACATCTGTACGATGGGGAGCAAAAGTTGCTGTTGCGCTCCTGTTATGGCGCCGGCGTGCAGGATAACACGCTGGAGCAGAATCCGTAAGTTGGCATTAATATTATAGGATCACTAAAGAGCTAATAATCTATTAATGCAGTACACGCATCGAGGGTTTCCTGGATGATTATGCTTTTCTTGTCAAGGGATTGCTGGACTATTACAAGGCATCGTTGGATATGAGCGCTCTGCACTGGGCCAAGGAACTACAGGTGACACAGGATAAACTCTTCTGGGATGAAAAAAATGGCGCCTATTTCTTCTCACAGCAGAATGCGCCCAATGTCATTGTTAGACTCAAGGAAGGTTCGTCTTGGGTCATATTATTTCGACTTAATACATTTAATATAATTATATAATATATTCTCACTCCAGATCATGATGGCGCAGAGCCATGTGGCAACAGCGTCGCCGCACGCAATCTCACCCTGCTGTCGCACTATTTCGATGAGGGGACATATTTGAAGCGTGCTGCCAAGCTCCTAAATTACTTTGCAGATGTTTCACCTTTTGGTCATGCATTGCCCGAGATGCTGTCGGCGCTGCTGCTGCATGAGAATGGGCTGGACCTGGTGGCAGTCGTGGGTCCAGACTCACCAGACACCAAACGCTTCGTGGAGATTGTGCGCAAGTTCTATGTACCGGGCATGTTAATTGTCCACTGTGACCCGCAGCATCCGGACGATGCGTGCAACCAGCGACTCCAGCAAAAATTCAAAATGGTCAATGGAAAGACAACCGTATATATTTGCCATGATCGTGTCTGCCGGATGCCGGTGACTGATCCCGCCCAACTCGAAGAGAATCTGATGGCCAATTTCTTCAAGGAGCGAATCTAATTAGATAAACACCTATTGACATTACTCGAATTAGGAATTAGAATTATGTTATTATTATTAACAATGTTATAGTTTAGCTTTAAAAGCTTAAATCGGTTCACGGAACTTGTTCTATTATAGCCTTAGCTCCTCTTCTGTCGTATTATCCATGTTTGTGTGCCTCTTTAGCGCCTGATTAAACAGATTTTACGAAAGTTTCCTTGTGAGGAATGATCCTTTTTCGTTTCAAGACATCTATAAAAACTAAAGAATCTATAAGCCTGTAATGTAATGGTAATTTTTCTTTAAGAAAAAGTATGTTTTTAGGATATCTAGGAAATTGTTTAATTGTGACTTTTAAATCAATTCGGTAAACTTTAATCAGGATTGCACTATTATATAGTCGTTCGAAATAGCTTGTTTGTACAAATTGAATTTGAAGACGGTTCGTTTTTTGTAGTTTTGCTTTTCTTGCATAGTCGAAATCACAACATCGTAACGCTGTCATATAAACAATTTCGTAAATAGATCCGATTGGATATGTTTAATGGCGGCGCGATAAGAAAATTGCGGTTTCATCTTCACAAATACAACACATTATTTTGTGCATTTATTGGAATCGTTCGTTTGGCTCCCAAATGGACGCGCTCAGGCAACAACAACCAAATACTAGACATTGTGCTTGGCTTTGTTCTGATTACTATTATTATTGTTGTCGTTATTGTTGCTGCTGAGCACAGTGCACGGGGGAGCCGCACAGGCGTAAGAACTAAGCTAAAAACTAAATGCTCGCCCTGCGCTGCGCTTGGGCTAACCCACATGGATCTGGCGATCGGACACATGCGTTGGCCACAAGACGCGACGGCAATCGGCGCAAAAGAACTAAATGTATGGAGAGAACAGTTCGATAATCGATAATCGGTAATCATAATCGTAATAATAGTAGTAGTAATAAAAATAATTTAGTTGAAATTCACATTCATCACATTGGTTTGCACTTGGCGGCGAACCACTTGCCCGTGCCTGTGGTGTTGGTTGCTCGCGGATGCGGCTGCGGATGCGGATGCTGCCGCTACAGTTGTTGTTGTTGCTGCCGCTGCAGCTGATGTAGTTGCTGTTGCGGCAGCTGTTGCATCCGCTCAGGTATCTGCATCGTTAAAACTCATGGCCGCATCGAAGCTATCCACGATCGTCTCCATGCGCTCGTGATGCTCGAACCGGGCAAATTTACGCTCCATGCGCGTATACGAGTGTCGGCGTGAGTGCCGTGTCCGTCGAAAGAAACGGAAACGTGTGTCCTCCTCCTCTTCATCGTATTCGGGCGCCGATACCGAATCCTCGTCCGTTTCGCGCAGGAATTCCTTGGGATCGCGATGAATCTTAAAGATTTTCGTCGCACCATGCAGCCTGGAAATTGTGCGCGACGCATTTATGATGCCGCGCTCGGCCAGCTGCTGTTTGTGCGTCCGGTTCTTGACGGCCGTTAGCCGATTTGTGATTGAGACCACGTTGAACAGTTTGGAAAGCTCCGAGTCAACGCAACGTGATTCACGACGCAGGTTCTTACCGTTTTTTACGTAGATAAAATGATTGATTTGATTATCGGCCACCAGGCTGGCGGTGGGTGAACTGGAGCTACCATTCCCGTTGGCGGTGCAATTGCCGATCCCAGTGCTGCTGCCGTTGCCGTTGCTGCTGGACGTTAACAGCGTTGGTGTGGAGGGCGGCGCGGGGGGAACGTGCGGCATTGTGTAGCAACGCTGACGTCCCTCATACAGGTTGGCCACATTGTACCGGCTAAGTCGGCACGATTCCGACTCGATTTCTTCGTGGTCTGAGCTCGGCATGTCCATAGCCTGCGGCGAGAAGCGTATGTGTGTATGTTTGTGTGTGTTTTTATGTGTATGTGCATATATATGTGTGTTGGTGTTTTGAGAGTGGGTGCGTTCGCGTGAGTGGGCAGACGAAAACGGGCAAAAAGTTGGGCGTTGTAATAATTGAAACATTTAAATTTGCCATGCATGCAATTTGTAGGAGATGTTTTTATACCTGTAGCAAGCCCTCTACTTCCGAGTAATGACGATCCGTCAGACGGTGCAGTTGTTGATCCATTTTTGCTAAACAACAACAACAACAGCATAACAAAAATACGACCGTCCGATACCAATACTTTTGGAGCACAGCAACCCTGCGCACTGCGCAGTCCCAGACGATACCAATACCAATGCTGACGCCCTGGCTAGCAAGATAAATATGGCGATTTAGGTACTTCTTTGCAACTTTATTGAGCCAGATGGCAACGCAAATAATAAAATTGCATCTGTATATTTCGATTCTGCAACTTACTATTTTATTAAATAAATATAAACTAAATAAAATTAATTTTCAGGTATGTGCATCTTCCGAAGCGGGGTCTTCCTTTTTTTTCTGTTGATTTTGTAGTGGTTTACAATTTAAATAATTTGTTGTTTCAGATTCCTTCGGCCATAGCGTTGTTATTGATCTCAGATTCTTGTGCGGCAGTGTTCCTAGTACGGCCCCGGCCCCTGCCCCTACCTGCGCCACGGCCTCTGCCAACATTGTTAACGGTATCCCAACATTCTATGGGCAAGGATTTTTTTATTAAAACCAAATAGGAATTTTATATCCAATGGTTACATACATACCTGGGAGAGGGCGTTTTCGTGAGGTTTTCTCTTGGTTTTCCTCCTGATTATTGTGCTCGATGACGCGGCCTTGTTCAAGTAGATCCCGGAATGTTGGTACACTTTGCCGTGCAATGTGCTTTCGGTACTTGATGTTCAGAAGCCCGTACAGGAAGTCCAGCTCTGTCTCCTCGTTGTGACGGCCCTCAGGCAGCTGGGCGCTCGCCCAGCGCGCGTTTCTCGACCACAAAAGTGTCAATGACAACGTTGTCCTCTTGCCTCTCCTCAAAGAACTCCGTGTACACTTGGTGAGCGGGCTTGGTGGGCGAGAAGTGTTCACGGATAAGGTCGATAACGTCGTTCCAGCATTTTGCTTCCTTGCGGACACCCTGCCACCAGGTGGATGCCAAGCCGTAGAAGAGCAGGGATATGCCCTTCAGAGCGTTCTCGTCGCTGATCCCTTCCAGCTCCTTGTAAGTGACAATGTTTGTGATGAACTCCTCGACCTCGTCGTGACTACGAGCACCACCAAATCTATGCGTGCAGGCGCTGAAGCTGCCCTTTGACTTTGAGTTGGAGGCATTCCCAAAGTTGGCAGCAGCACTTCCAGCTGCAGTTACAGCCGAGGAACGCACAGTCTCGATGAGCTCACGCAGTTGCTCGTTGGTCATTTGTATGGTTTGGGCCATATTGTTTTTGTTTGGAGCCAACAGGACAAAATAGTCGAAGAAGTGGACCTGTTGACCTGTTGATGTCGCCTAAAAACTTGAAACGATTTCGTATTTCCACCGGTTTTATATTCCGCAGACTTGTGAAATCAGACTTCGAAATGACAGTTGCGCTCTTTAAAAGTTTGTTTAATGAAAGAGCCATAGGTTTAATATTATACGAAGAGAGCTGCAATTTAATAGATATAGTTAATTAGCTATAGGTTAGTGTATATACATACATACACACATATGTATATATGTATAAGCTGGCAACATTCTGAGCTTATCAACTCTTATGAAATTAAATGCACGGGCAGTATCTGCTATAAGTTCTTAAATATATGTAATTTAGTTGTAATTATTTAGTGGTATTTTTGCCCTGGGAACAGTTCTTCTTTTGTAAAAACTCGTAATACCTAAAATTACATTGAAGCTTATGATATTAAATGGATTCATCATGTTATTTATGTAGATACCGTTTGAGTACAGAGCTGAAATTGTCCTTGCAATCCTAACGCACTGAGCAGGACTTTCGATTGTCCATTTACAATTTCCTGGATACGACCAATATATCTCAAATTTTATATATTTTCAATCACAAGTTCTTAACTCGGTCTATTTTCCTGCGGCCTGCGACTGAAAATGTACAAGTTTTGATCCTCAGATGACCACATATCCTTTTACACATCGTTGACTAAAATGAAAAAACGTACTTCGCTCCAATTTCGTTGAAAATTTGTTTAAACATGATTTTTCAATTAAATTTTCATGCCTTAACAGTTGTTTCCCTGATAAAAAGTACAGGAAACATGATAAGAAAGAAAGTCCGCGCCTAACTGCTTATGTATGTATGTACATATGTTTGTCAATATATGTACATGTACATTTAACTAACGACAGTATTCTGAGAAAATTTTTAAATCAAACTCACATAGATTTCTATATTTATTACTCAATGCCCGTATGGAAACTTACATATGTACATATATCCATATACACACACATAAATACATTAAAAAGTATTAATATCGAATGCAACAATTGCCGGTTTTTCGAGTTCGAAAGCTTTTTCCGCTCTGTGTGCTCAGAGAGTAAATTGTTTTAATTTCACAACGAAAAAAGCTTGAGACGGTCATATTTTTGCTTAGTTTATTTGTTGGCAGCAGCGAAGCAGCTGCGTTTGTTTATTTATTCTTGTCGGAATCAAAGCCTCGCTCGAGCAAAATGACGCAGTTGTCGGACGAACAGTTTCGCATACTCATCGAAACCATCAAATCTTTGGCACCCCAGAAAGATGAAACAGAGCCGTCCTCAAAAGGCAGCTTCAGCAATTGTATAGCCCGATTTAGCGGGCAGCGGGACCACGATGCCGTTGAGGTGTTCATAACGTCAGTGGAAACGTACAAGGAGGTGGAGGGCATTAGCGACAAGGACGCGCTGAAAGGTATCACGCTGCTGTTCCAAGGTATTGCCATTATGTGGTGGAAGGGCGTGCGGCGCAATGTAAAGACCTGGCAAGATGCATTGCAGCTGCTGCGGGATCACTTCTCGCCCACCAAGCCCGCCTATCAAATCTACATGGAGATCTTCGAAACGAAGCAGGCGACGGGGGAAGTGATCGACGCCTTTATTTGCAAGCAACGCGCTCTGCTCGCCAAGCTGCCGGACGGGCGGCACGATGAGGAGACTGAGCTGGACTTCGTCTACGGCCTAATGCTGCAAAAGTACAGAGAACACATGCCACGACATGAGATAAAAACATTTAGAGAGCTGCTCGAGCGTGGTCGCAACGTGGAGCGCATGCGGCACTGAAATTTAGCTTTAGGTAGTGGATATTTATAGCTAAATAAAATAATTGTAAGCATTGCTATAGGAATATTCTTTTAATTTAAAAAATATGAACCTAGTAAAGTCTAAGATATGTTTTTAAATAACTTTATTCAGTTACAATCAGAACTGAGCTCAAAATTTGTTTGCTTCCAAAATTTAATAAGAATTGTAATGTACTGTTTCTATACAAAAACTACTCCTCTATAAGAGTTATATATCTAGATTTTAAACGAACGAGTTAAATCTCGTTCTGACCATAATTTACTTCAATCTTTAATACATTGCCTGACAAAATAATAAGGCGAGATTTGTTTATCTATCAGAAAGTTTATTTGATTTGCCTTTTTAAGTCGGGTTTCCCCTTTCTTTGCTCATAATAATATAATCTGGGAAAGCTTTTAGCAGTAATTGGATGTGCTGCGTTGACTCGGCTGCAGCTAAGCTAAAAAAATAACAAAATCCCCGCTCTCCCTCCCTGTAACCACATATTAAACAACATAGGAAAATTAGTTTTTAGGTTTTTTGTATTCAGGTTTTAGTTTTCTGGTTTCAGTCTTTACAATTTATGATTTGTTACGCTTATCGTAGCCTCTTGTGGTCATCGATAGGCCCCCAGCTGGATGAGAATGCGAATGCCAAAGAGCTGGCACCGCACATCATCGGGGAACGCGGGCCGTCGTTGTTGCAGCGTTAGGTATGGCCAATGCTCCAAAGTGCTGGCGCACGCTGCACGACGACGGTCACCATGGTATGGACACCGATGTTAGGTATGGATGGCACTACGCGCCTACGGATTCTACACAAGAGGCTAGATTTTCGTGGGTTGGGGTTTCGAGACAGTCGCCGCAAGCTGGAGCAACAGAGCAGCGACGAATCCGAAGCCCCGGTGTGTGTGTGTGAGAGAGCTGGCGTGCCTAACGCTTGCCAAGTACAGTAGAGCTCCAAGGAGCTGCCACCGACAGGAGGCAATTTAGCGTGCCAATTGCACGAATGGCGACAACTTAGCCATCGTAGTGCAATGTATGCGAACATAGTTAGACATTAAAAATGTCAACGTAGGTTGTTTGAATCTCCTTAAAAGGAGATTTGGTTTTGCCCATGACCAAGCCGCAGCAGCTGCTGTCGCGCCAGACGCAAGCACCGAAAGAACAACACCAGGCCGGGCAAGTGGCAGCAGCGCTGCAGCACACCGCTGTGAACCGCAAAGTGCTGCCAACTGGCCACAGCGTGGAATTGCGCCTGGCACATGCGCCGCACAAAAGCGACTGCGCTGCTTCCCATGAGCGTGTTTTTGTTTTGCCGCATTGATTAAGGACCAGCGCCGCAGCTGCTGCAATTCGAACTTGGCGACAAGCGGACGCGCAGCTCTGCTGGCCGAAACCAGCAGAGCTTTACGCCCTACGCCTGATCGCCTTGTGCGCACTGCAGCTGCGCTGCGCCGGCACTAGATCAAGGCAGCGGGGTTTGAGCGACGAGGAAAGGGGGAGGAAAATGGCGCACGCAACACCCATCACAGTCAGAGGCGCTGCACCGACGCATACGCAGCAGAGGCAGCGACGCTCGCCGCACAAAACCAATCAGCTGCGATTCCGAAGAATTACAGTGAAAAGCTCTGCACGACCTAGCGTCGCTGCTCTGCTGCGCTGCATCAAAGCAACGACTTAACCTGGGGGCGAAATGCGTGCGCCAAGCTCCTCTCCACTGCCTGCCGCTCGGAGTCGGCAAACTAAGTTTGCCGTTTGAATTCCAAAGTTTGTGAAAAATATCACAAAAGAGCAATGCAAGAGTGGCGTTCAGAGCCAAAAAGAGCCGCAGGTGCGGCGTGAAGAAGATTCGACATCGAAATGTCGTGCTTGTTGTTGTTGTTAGATCTCTGCTTTGCTTGCCGGCACGCCACTTGGCGCTGAATGAGAGTTTAAAATGAACTTAACCAAAAAGCCGCTAAAGCTTGCTGCTGGTGCTGCTTCTCTTCGTTGTTGTCACCTTCGTCTCTCGAACATGTCCATGTGTGGCCGGCGCGACAAAGTGAGTGTTGATGTATTGGTGAGAAAATGACGTCGGCTTCGGATATGCGCCCTGCGCATGATGTTAATAGTTGTAGTTGTCGTTGCCGATGATGTCACGTTCCGTATTGTGTGTATGTGTGTGTTTCGCCTTTTACTCCGCCGCCGTCGATGGCTCGTCCCGCGTCTGACGACGCTTGCGACAGTTTTCGAACGTGTGGCCGCGGAAATTGCAGTAGGTGCAACGTTCTCCACGACGAGCTCCACGTAGCGGACCCTTTGCAGTCGCCTCATCCTCCTGATTGTTGTGCTCGATGATGCGGCCCTGTTCGAGCAGATCGCGGAATGTTACGATGCTTTGGCGGGGAATGTGCTTGCGGAATTTGATGTTTAGCAGGCCGTACAGGAAATCCAGCTCTGTCTCTTCGTCGTGACGACCCTCAGGCAGCTGGGCGAGCAGCGCGCGTTTCTCGACGACAAATGTGTCAATGGCAACGCTGTCCTCCTGCTTCTTCTCGAAGAACTCCATGTACACTTGGTAGGCGGGCTTCGCGGGCGAAAAATGTTCGCGGATGAGGTCGATGACGTCGTTCCAGCATTTTGCCTCCTTGCGGACACCCTGCCACCAGGTGGATGCCATGCCGTAGAAGAGCAGGGATATGCCCTTAAGAGCGTTCTCATCGCTGATCTCTTCCAGCTCCTTGTAAGTGACAATGTTTGTGATGAACTCCTCGACGTCGTCGTGACTGCGAGAACCGAAAAATCTGTGCGTGCAGGCGCTGAAGCTGCCCTTTGACTTTGATTTGGAGGCATCGCTGCCGGCAGCAGCAGCCGCATTACCGGCTGCGCTGACCGCGGATGTGCGAACTGCCTCGATTAGCGCATGAAGCTGCTCATTTGTCATCTGAATAGTCGCCATTGCAAACAGTTAAGGCACACACTTTGTTGCGTTTGAAAATGTAGTTTAGTTACGGAATACAGCGAACAAAGCCAATGTAAGATGGCGAATGGTACCGCTTCCAATTGATTTGGTCGTTGTTGACTGAAGTTCCGTTTGTTGGTCTGTCATCTTTTATAGCCGAGCGTTGTGAAATTCAATTTCGAAAAAGCTCTGAGAAAAAAGAGAAACGAAAAGAAAGAGCAAGAATTGAGATAGCATTGCGTTCAATATTTGTTGCGATTTCTAGTCACTAAATTCTAGTGAGTCACTTTTTCGGCTCACCAGTAATTAAAACTCGATAAATGTACATACATACATACATATGTACATATGTATTGGTTATGGTCCCATGCGAAGTGCTTTTAACATGTATATATTTATGTACATATATTAATATCAATGTATGCATATACATATGTAGTTCCCTAAGTGATTGGTAAAAATATTGATAAGCGACCATTCTTTTAATAGTAATTATAAATTTCTTAGTATTGCGTACACAAGTAAGTACAGTAATTGTACATATCCTAATGCACATGTGTAAATATTTATGTATGTATGTATGTATGTTTATTATTCTGATTTCAAAGGAACATAAGTAAGCATGTATGTATGTATGTATGTCTATGTACACAAATTTAAAAAATTAAAACAAAATTTTTATTTATACGTTAGTTGTACATACATATGTATGTACTTCTATACGCCTGTAGTTCTATCATACACTTGTTTGTATGTATGTATGTATTTGAATAGTCGGCCCTTATTACGATTGCATTTTGATTTTAATTTCATATAAACATGAAAATGCGCTGCATCTCCCAAATAACTTTGAGTAGCATATGTATGTATGTACGTTCGTATGTATGTGTGTGTCTGTATTTATGTACATATGTATCTATTTGCATGTACTCGCATTTATAAACACATGAACATATTAAGAACAAATAAATAAATGTATATATATACGAGTACACAATTGTCGGCCGTCAATTTGATTAGCTTACCCATATTGGCAGAGTGATCAGAAAATGCTTCGATAGCAAATGATTTGGTCATTTGAAGCTGCCTTCCGAATGCTCCTTTGTTTATTTCATAAAATGGAAACGCTGGCCACATATTCAAGAATTCACTAATTTCAATAGTTTTACAAGTACCGTGTCAAATACTTTGCCCCACCATAGGGGATTATAAAAAAAAATTATTTTGTATTCCAACTTTTATATATTCTGCTTGAAATTCAAAAGTGGTGCGCTTTTTTGGTGACGTTGCCATATCGCTGTAACGTATTGCCACCCCAGCTGGTAAGCTATGTGCGTATTATGAACTAGTTCGCACACAAAGTTCCCAAGCAGAATTCGCCGGGAAGCCAATGGTTATAATATCCGAAGAATTAGTTATTACTAAATTTAACTCAAAGCTCAAATATGACCGATTATGTGGTTGAAGGCATCGAAGGAAAACGCATAGTAAATGGAGTTACCGAATACTTGTTAAAATGGCAGGGATATCCACGCAGTGAAAACACTTGGGAGCCAGTCGAAAATCTATCTTGCCCCGATTTTATAGCCGCATTCGAGGAATCGGAGAGGAACAAAGCACAGGCTAAAAAGCGAACTTCGTCGGAGAACGGCAAAACACGTGACGGGCAAAACAAACGAATAACTTTAATGAAAGACGAAACTGAGGGGAAATTTGGTTTTGAGCGTGGATTGGTTGCTTCGAAAATACTAGGAGCCACCGATTCTTCAGGAAAGCTCATGTTTCTGATGTCGTGGAAAAATTCAGATTGCTACGAACTGGTGCCGGCCAAGCTCGCCAACGTAAAATGTCCACATGTTGTAATTAAGTTTTATGAGGATCGCCTCACTTGGGAATCGGATAAGAAAAACGGGAATAAAGCAAAAAAAGGACGCCCAGCTAAAAACTATAATAAAGTCGACATTGACTTGACAGTTGGCGACGACGCCAACTTTTGAGCAAGCAGATGGTATGTGTTATATACATACATGCATATGTAACATGCAAATCATTTGTATGAACGGACATTAACAGTTATGCATATACGCAGGCATATATGTATATGTGTATGTGGCGGTGATATGAAACCATTTTTTATTTTAGAATAATGTAAATATAAATACCATATGTATATCAAAAGTAAGCATTGTACTTGACATATCCAATTTCGTTACTTTGAAATACTTCAGTTGACAGTTTAAAATATTAAATAGTCTGTTTTTGTATTAATTGAGACGGTCGGACAAGCACAATTTTGGCGCCGGCACCTAAAGATTTGTAAATTAGAGTTGCCACAGTTTCCAATTATCCAAAAAGAAACTAGTTCAGTGAACTTGGGATTTGCGCTCAGTCACGAACCACAAGCACTGTTGGGCAATTGCACTTTGCTACGAGGTGCGTTTTTAGTAATCTCGTGAAAATAGCGAAGTATTGTGCTATTTGACAGTTTCACGTTGCACAGCATGATTCCGACAGTGTTTGGGTGACGCTGGCATCTGCACAAATGTATTTTATGATGTGATACGATGAAAATGCGTGTTCTTTGCATATTGCAGGCGTGGGCTGGCATCTGAGAAATTGATGTGAACTGCAATTGGACATTATTAAAGCGTTGCCGCCGGCTGCAGACGTACACACAGACGACAACGATGACCACCAGCAGTGAAGATGTGCTCCTGCAAATGGGCGAGGTGCGTTACAAGAAGGGTGACGGCACGCTCTATGTGATGAACGAGCGCTTGGCATGGATGGCGGAGCACCGGGATACGGTGACCGTGTCCCATCGCTATGCGGATATAAAAAGTAAGTGACTGCGTGCATAAATTGCGTTGGCGTAAATAACATAGGCGGTGCACATATAAAATGCAGCTCAGAAGATCTCGCCCGATGGCAAGCCAAAGGTGCAGCTACAGGTGGTGCTGCATGATGGCAACACTTCGACGTTCCATTTTGTTAACCGTCAGGGCCAGCCGGCCATGCTTGCCGATCGTGACAAGGTCAAGGAACTGCTACAGCAGCTGCTACCCAATTTCAAGCGGAAGGTAGACAAAGATCTGGAGGACAAAAACCGTATTCTAGTGGAGAATCCCAATTTGCTACAGCTATACAAGGATCTGGTTATAACCAAAGTACTTACCAGCGATGAGTTTTGGGCCACGCACGCCAAAGATCATGCTCTAAAAAAGATGGGCAAGAGTCAGGAAATCGGTATGTGTACATATATCAAGCATAATAATGAATTAGTTTTCAATGTAACTATTCACCCGTAGGTGTCTCTGGCGCTTTTTTGGCCGATATTAAGCCACAGACGGACGGTTGCAATGGCCTTAAATACAATCTTACCTCTGATGTCATACACTGCATTTTTAAAACATATCCCGCCGTTAAGCGCAAACATATGGAGAACGTTCCCGCCAAAATGCCTGAATCAGAGTTCTGGACGAAGTTTTTTCAATCGCACTATTTTCATCGAGATCGTCTCACCGCTGGCACCAAAGACATCTTTACGGAGTGCGGCAAAATCGATGATCAGGCGCTTAAGGCGTCCGTGCAGCAGGCTGCAGGTGATCCGCTGTTGGATTTGAAAAAGTTTGAGGATGTGCCGTTGGAGGAGGGTTTCGGTAGCGTTGCCGGCGATCGTAATGTGGTAAACAGTGGAAACATTGTGCATCAGAACATGATCAAGCGCTTCAATCAGCATTCTATCATGGTACTAAAGACGTGCGCTAATGTTAATGCCCCTTCTGCCACCGTAACCAATGGCACTAACATAGCTAATGGCCCACTAGGACAATCCACCTACACAAACGGACTAAATGGCAAGGGAGCCAAGCATATGGTCGATAGTGCGCCCAGTAATATTGATGCACCACAAGCGAAGAAGCAACGTCTCATTGAAAAGATACACTACGAAGATTTGGGCAGTCCACTAATCGAATCGGATGAGGATACGCAACAATCGACCAACAAAGGCAAACAATTTGAGCTGTCCAAAGTGGAACGCTACCTCAACGGACCGTTGCAGAATCACATGTACGAAAATCATACCGATGCCCTCAGTCTTGACGATGTACAGTACAAGCTGGTTCGCAACTCAGAATCCTGGCTGGATCGCAGTGCGCAGCGCAATGTCATATGCTCCAAGGCAGCGGTCAATGCTCTAGGCGAGCTCAGTCCAGGTGGCTCGCTCATGCGAGGCTTTCAGGAGCAGTCAGCGGGGCGTAAGTACACTTTATTATTAAGAATAATTGTTGCTGTTATAAATCCCTTTTGATTAACCCGCAGAGCTGGTACCACGCGACTTTCAACGCGACTTGCGGCACTTGTATCTGTCGCTTTTGGAGCTGCTGAAACATTTTTGGAACTGCTTTCCACCCACCACGGAGGAGCTGGAAACAAAGCTTCAGCGTATGCATGAAACACTGCAGCGTTTTAAAATGGCCAAGCTAGTGCCTTTCGAGGTGAGTAAATGCTAGAGCATGCTAAATTTATACATATTAACTCTTTCACATTCTCCATAGAATCGTGCAATGCATGAGCTCTCGCCGCTGCGATCATCACTCACGCAACATATGAACATGTTGCTGCGCACCGCCAACTCCAAGTATGCCACATGGAAGGAACGCAAGCTGCGCAACAATAGATAACAAATGCAGCACCAGCAGCAACAGCAACAGCAGCCGCAGCAGCCAACTATCCTAAACAACATTATAATCGACTAGCAGTACTCAACGCATTGAAATAAAAATATGAATTACGTAGTTAATTAAGATATAACCACTGTTTGTACGTGTCCATGATGTGGTGCTTATAAATTTATACAACATCATAGCCGATTGTTTCAGTGGCTGTTTATCAGGATATTTTGCATCTTCGGTTTTATTTATTTCAGCCGCGCCTCTAGACGCCGAATATGTTGCGTACGTAGAGTTCAAACTGAATTTAACCAATTCCCTATGACCCACATAGAATGTTACGCATAGCAATCAAGAATTAATTTGTTCTAATTAACAACTTCTTGATTGTTTTGAACGACAAGTTTCTTGCTTGACAGTCCACACAATGAGCGTCAGTTCAACGCGAGTCGCGCTTTCAAGAACAATCAAAAACTGGACGTAGTTCCAGAAAGTTTCTTTAGCTATAAAGTTTATTGTATTCCCATTAAAGATAATCGCTATGCAGGAAGTTTTTAATTTAAGTCTAGGGCTGTGCCTGATTGCCAGCTGCTGCATTTCCTTCTGCCACGCAGCTCTGATTTATCCTACAAATTCGGAATATGGTGTAACTTGTCAGCTTTTAGCACGTCTCGCATTTTGTTGCTAACATTAATTTATTGCAGCTCTTTGTGGCCATATCCGTGCCAATTAGTCTGCCGCATCGCAATGTGTTTTTGTCGTACAATTACGAGTTCAATTACTATCATCCGGAGCACGTTTACAAATTTCCACCTATTTTGGTAATTTAAATGAAGTTTGTGTCCTAAGTCTTTTGATTAAGCTTTCACATTTTTGAATAGATGGGTGAAGATTTCGAAGATGGCTATCTTACGTATCCCACTCATGATGCAACGCAAAGCCGACAGTGTCACAATTGCACCGTGGGCACTAATAGCACCACGCCGGAGATCCCGGATCCGGAAGAGAAGAGGGAAACAACTACGGGGCCAGTTCGAGAAAAACGCGAGTTGTCGCTGATGACACGGAAAACCTTCTACACAATACTACGCGATAAGCTGGACAGGTGTGAGCCGCAGTTGGAAATCTGTTCAATAATCACTTTAACAGTTATTCCTTTCCAGATCTGGCTATCCCGCTGAGGCCTGTCTGCTGCGCATGATTTGTGAGACGAACGCCTCAGCGCTGGGAGAGATAAATGGATTCTTGGGTAACATTGTGCATGTTATTTTCACGTAAGCAACGAATGAATTCCATCAGTTGGCACAACTAATATCCATGTCCATACTTTGCAGACCCAGCAGTTCCAGAGATGAGCAGCTGTCCCCTGTTTACTATCAGGCCGAGGCGGATGGACAGCAGCAGCAATGCTCGCTCTATGACAGCGACTGCCCCTACAATGTTATGGATCTGATCTCAACACCCGTGGAGCGAATACTCCAAGACATCGTGCAGAGAAGAAGAAGAAAATAAACTGGAGTACATGATATAGAGTACTCGAAACATTGCATCTCACTCACTCGCTCTCTGACTTGGGTTGCCTCTTGGGTCTGTTCTCTAGCTGTTTGCTCTGCCCATTAACAGTTGGGTCTTTAATGTAAACGCACTTTCAGTGACTGCTGCTGCTGCTGCTCCAGCCGCAGCAGAGCTCAGTTGTTAGCTGAAGCTCTGCCTGATCAATTGAATGTGTATGTGCATCCGAAATGGGATTAGATCAAACTATTTCCCAGCACCTTGTGCTGGCCATGTGTGCGCTGTGCTTGCGTTTGGCCGATGCCTACTTGGCCTTCGTGCCCTCTAGCACGCATGGCGTGAGTTGGTTTTCCCCTAGGGATTTAGTCGGTGTTGAATGTGCTTTTCTCGCAGGTGTTTGCCGCATTGGCCGTGCCGCTGGAGCTGCCGCATCGCAACGTTTTTGTTTCCTACAACTTTGAGGCAAATTACAACTCGCCATATAACTGGAGTAAACCGACCTTATTTGTAAGTCTGGCTCATGGTGATCTGATATTTGTTTGACGTCTATAAAATGCCGCATTCACTGGCAATTAGCACAACATTTAAAAGGTCAATTAGCAGCTTTGCGCCTGATATTCTTTCAATCGACATATCGATTCTCCAGAAATAACAATACTTTCACATTTGAAATGTTTGCTTGCACAGCAAAACGGTCCCATCGAGTCCGAGGAGGTGGAGCTATCGCGCAAGACTAGCCATGCAGCAGAGGAGAGCAGGAGAGATCAGGCATCGATTGAGGCCCAAGAGGAACTGGAGCAGGACATAGAGGGCAGTGCGGATGAGGAACAGGCGCAAGCGACGGAGACAACTTCCATGCCCACTTCTACACCCAAGCGCGAGAGACGCGCTCTGCTCACCCGCAGCAATATTTATCACATACTAATCGACAAATTTCAGAGGTGCTTTTGACTCGGAGATTACGGGAATAGTTTATATATAAAAGCAATTCCTTTTCAGGAGTGGCTTCTCGGGCGAGTCCTGTTTGCTGCGCCTGATTTGCGAGACCAGCGCCGCCGAACTGGGCGAGGTCAACGGTGTGTTGGGCAGTCTAATACACGTGCTCTTTAGGTGAGTCCCTCAGAACCTTATTCAAGTTAATTTCTATTAAAAGTCATCCTCCTTGACAGTCCCAGCACTTCCGAGCCGGAGCAGCTGCCGCTGCGTTTCTATCAGGCGGAGCACGATGGCTGGAACGATCATTGTAGCTTTTATGAGCACAACTGTGGCGAGAGTTTGTTGGAGCTGATATCAGAGCCCTTTGAGGAGATCCTTAAGCGCATAGAGCGCAATGAAATGTAGTAAGAGTATTTCATGTATTCACAGAAATATAGAATTGTTTTGTTGTGTGACCCACTTTTAAGTGCGGCTGTCTTTTTAATTAGCAACTTTCACTGCCCAAGAACTTTTCTAGCTGCTCCTAATTGCCACATCAGCTCCGAGTCGGGCCCCAGTTGTCGTTTGGCGTTTGCCGAAAAGTTTTGATTTTCAGTTGTTTAAAAGAAGCGCTGGAGCTTGCAGCGCTGTGAGCCAATCAACATGGAAGTGGGCCTGCTTAAGATCCTGCTAACAATCTGTTTTGGGCGCACAATTCAGGCGGCGCTCGTATGGAACACAGGCGGAACAATTGGAGTAAGTATTTTCCCGTCTGTAAATCTGATGCCATTTACAATTTCATTTTTTCAGATTTTTGCAGCTATTGCCATACCACTTGATCTGCCCGATAAGCATGTGTTTGTTTCAAATTATTTTGAGGCCACGTACACGCTGCCCAAAACTTGGCATGAAGAGCCACCAATTTTTGTAAGTTTCTTGAAAATTTGGTTCGATTCACATCACATTTTGTCCCCCGTTTTGCAGCGTCGTGATAATGATACGGACTTGGATGCAAGTGGTGATCCACTGGCTGATTTTGGGGACTACTATGACGACTATGACGAAGGGCCGCACCACAAACCCTCAAAGTTAAAGCCGCCCAAGCGTAAACACAAAACCAAGAAAAAGCCGAAGCCCACCCCAACGCCGTCATCTGATGACTACAAGGATTTCTTTGAGGGCTATCCGCAGGATCGGGCAGGGCGGGAGCGGAACGAGGCTTTGGCCAGACATCGCCAGGAGCATACGCTGCTCTCACGCACCAAGTTCTATAAGATACTTGGCCAGAGATTCGAAGAGTTCGTATAGCTTCAAAGCTGCTTAAGTTATCTATTGACCAGTTGCCTCTTGCTTCCAACAGACATGGCCTGGGCAGCGGCGACGGCTGCCTGCTGCGGCTCATCTGTGAGGCGAACAGTGCGCAGCTGGGCGAGCTCAATGGCGTACTGGGTAGCCTCATGCATGTGATGTTCAGTCCCAGCAGCTCCCAGTACGAGGCGCTGCCCCAGCGCTACTATAACGCGGAGCGCAATGGACAGCAGGACAATTGTCGAGGGTATTCCGCGAAATGTGAACGCAGCGTGCTGGACTTGATATCGCGTCCATTGATCGACTATATAGTAGGCAATAAATCGGCTTCGCTCTAAATCTTTATTCTATGTGCTTTTCATGAACATCTTGAGCGCTGGCCAGGCACAGTTCTTGATATACGCGCTTGCTTCCTGGCATTGCTTGTTGGCCCGCTGCCAGGCGCTGGCCGGACAGCGTCGCATCAGCCGCGAGTAGGCGCAGAGGCTGTAGAAGAGCGCATGGCGATCGCAGGCAGCGCTCTGGCGGCTGATCTCGGCCAGCTCGGTGTACTTGCTGGGCACCAGCGACGCGCAAGTCGCGAAATTGCTGGCATACGCCTCGATTATTTCCGGATTGCTAAAAGCGCGCTCCAGCATGGGACGCACCTGGGCTAGATTTAGCTGGCGGCCCTGCAGCGCCATTGTGGCATTGAATATGCAGGCCAGCCGACACTGGGTGCAGGTTGTGAAGACGAAGTCATAAATTGGAGTTAATATAAGCTAAAGTTAATATAAGCTAAACACTTACGCTAGGCTGCACGCCCGACTGGCCACACTCGCTGTTGTAGGCGCCCCAGTTGGGCAAGGGCAAAGGACAACACATTTGGACGTTCTGTTGAATCAAAGTCGATTAATTGATAGCAGGCGATTTTTTTAAGTTTGCGTCCTCTACCTGCACGGATTTGGGCGCTGCTCTGCACTTGGCAGCGCTCAGCAAAGCGGGAAGTACGGAGATTAGGAAGCACAGCAAACTCAGCCACATGCTTAAATGTCTCTGTGTCAACTGAATGGAATTCCCTGATCTAACTATGGCTAATAATATGTTGCACTTGCGTGCTGCAGCTGCATGTGCAGCCCGATAAGCTGGCGACAAGCGTTGCGGCTTGTTCTGGTCAGAGATACAAAGATACATAACGATTGCTATTTTAGAGCCATAAAAGTGTCTACAGCCATTAATAATAGTATTACTTTTATTATGACTTTCAATTAAACAAGCGTTTGCCTAATTACTTAATACTAGCTTTTTGTACAACCATGACGAAGCGCTTTGTATGGAAAATTATGTTTTCTATTAGTCGACCGCACTATGTAACTATCTTTGGTTCGCCTTTTTTGCGGAGATCCCTATAAATTAGCTTTTCTTACTTATCTCTATTTAAACAAGTCGGTACAAGTGTTACATATATAATATAACAATTAGCAGCAGCTAGACTTCCTACAAAACTGTAAATCCCTTCTCATTGTAAATACTTACAATGTAGAAGAAGTGCAGAGTTGAGAAAATGCATATAATGAACTGCATCTGTGTCAACTATAATTTTACTGTAATTTTATTTATTTATTTTATTTTTTCGTCTTGCCAATCAAATATTTATAATAGAAAAAGGTCGCCAAATCCAGCATAATTATTTATTTATTTATTTTTTTTTTTTTTCTACCTACCAAGCAGGAAAATTCACTAGTACAAATTAATTAATTAAGCTCTTACACGGCGAATATTAATAAAAAGTATTATATAAGATCTCAATACGCTGATCAAAATAATAAAAAAAAAATTTACTCTTTGTAATGTAAAATAAGCGCATTGCAAGTTAAAGTAAAGATGAAACTTATCCAGGGACTACAGCATGTTAAAGTGTCTGTCAATTTTACAATGAAGATGGGTTTAAGAGGCATATATAAATTGCTTCCGTGGACTTCCAGTGTCATTGTACCTTTTTACATTTCAAGTTATAGCAAGTTAGAGCTTAGGAGTACAAGTAAATGAAGAGCATATTAAAACGGGTTTTCTCTAGTTTAATTCCTTTCTCGTTTTTCCAAAGCACAAGAAGTGCCTTCCTAGTTAAAGTAAGTTAATTTAGGTTGAAGAATACATGAAAATAGTTAATCAAACATAACAGCATGTTAAAGCGTTTGTTAAGTTAACAAAGCATATAAGAAAATGTGCCTTATCCTGTCCCAAGTCCTGGCAGACAACTGACATTGGTAGAGACTTAGATGCCGCATAGACTCGCAAAGTAAGCATAGACTGAATTATGTAGGGATATTTGGGTGAATAATTAATTAATTTAATTAAACAATTTATTTGCCAATTAACTGCATAATTTGTGTGCGCTTCATTAATTTGCAGACAGTCTGAACGGTCGTATATATATAACATCAGATTTGGACAGTCACGGCTTAAATCGACAACAATGCTGACCAAGTGTGTGGCTGTAACAATGTGGCTGTTGGCCAACATATTGTCCGGCAGTGCTGACATCGACTGCAGTCAGCGTTTGCAGCATAATGTGAGTAAATCGAAAAAGGATATTGAATCCTTAACGAGCACTTTCAACCAAATTTCCCATACAGACGATTAGCAACTGCTGCGCCAAGCCCAGTCTGAACTTTGAGGCATTCCGGCAGAGTTGTGGCCGGTTTATGGCCGATAACCGGAAAAGCATGTCGCCCGTAAGTAGGAGAGCATTTTTCATGTCTACTTAATACAACTAACCAACACATTTCCATATGAAAGTGCCTCTACGATTGCATCTTCAATGTCAGCCAAACGATGACTGGCATGCAACTGAATGTGGACAATGCACACAGGATGACCGAACGGCTCCTGGGCACCAACAAGGAGTTTGTGGACATATATGCGACAGCTCTGGAGAGTTGCGCAGCAAACCAAAGTGCAATGCTCAAGTACAAGAAACGGCGTTTTTATGGCACCGAAAACTGTACCCTTCTGCCCCTGTATCTGGGCATTTGCGCTGCGGAATACGTATTTGTCCACTGCCCCCCGGCCAGCTGGACACGCAGCAGGATATGCGAGGAGGCGCTGGAATATAAAAATGCTTGCCAGTGCGATATAAGTGGACGATTTTGCAGTGCCAATTCCAATTAATTTTACCATTAAGGGACATACAGGAAAATAAACAAATAAGCTTTAGATAATCTAACATCCTGTGGATCTGAAAATTCTTGCCTCAGCACATGCTCTTCTAACAGCTAAAGTAATAAAATCTAGACATGTTTGGCATATGTTTCTATTTATGATCTTCAGATGACAGCAATTTATAATAGTTTAGTTGAAGAACACATCGTACCAGCTGGGCTGCTCCCGATAGCTGAGCGACTCTGCTGCACTGCAACCGTCATCAGAGTCCATTACATCGTCCTGTCCGATTGCCTGCATTTGAGCTGCTTGGGATTATTAATCAATAAGAGAAGTCAGATAAGTTGAGTTTTGTACTTGCCCAATTGCTCCAGATTCATGCCCAGACGTTGGGCATGTTGCATGAGCGCTGCGAGCAGCAGCTGTGTGTCGACAATGCCATCTTGTTCCACATCATGGAATGAGATCAAGGGCTGTTCCTCTTCTGCGGGACAGCCGAGAGCTATGTCGTTATTAGGTTCGAACTGTAACTGCTGGAATTAGGCATTAATTAGACAGGAAGATAAATCGGATTTGGCCAGATGAAAGGCACCTGCTCTGCTTCTGGCTCAACAACGAAGTCCTTGAAAGCAGCTCGAGCGCTGCTGCCAAGCAGCAGGCAGCTGATCAGAAACACAGTTGAATGATTCATAATGATAATCCCAGAAAAAAAGATCGTTTTTCAACTGAGCTGTTTGGCAACTGAACCTTGAATGAGCCATGGTTAAAAACATTAGCCAAACTCGGCAGCCAGACACTTGTCACGGCTCATTTAATGGGAACCGAGTCAGACTCATCAGCGTAATTATGAAATGATTTTAGATTTCTTTTTCAGTTTTATTTTAAACACTCGAACACAAAACATAAAGCTAAAAATGTTTATGAATAGAGGCTTATCGAGATCAGCTCATGGGCAGCGGCACATGCGGCAGAGGATTGCATTGCTCGGCGAACTGTTTGGCCACGAGGCAGTGCTCGTCCGACTTCCACATCTTGGCCGGACAGTTGATAAAGGTCTCCGCATTGACGCAGCTGTACAGCATGGCGGCATAGGGCGAACAGCCCTGGGGCAGAACCTTATACGCCTCGACCTTTGCGGCCTTCATGTGGCCATGAACTGGGGAAATAGTAGAAAGCAAGATAGTTAATCTTTGATCCAAAATTTGTATATTACGCATACGCACTGTTCTTTCGGCAGGTCTCAAAGGAGCGCACAATGTGAGGCACCACCTCGCGATCGCGTCGATGCACATGCTCCTGCAGATACTCTCTCACCTTGTCCAAATGCAGTCTGCCATTGACCAGGGCGCCCGTCTCTCTGTATATGCACTCCGGATAGCACTGGGAAGAGTCCAGGTGTTTAAAATAAAATATATATTTTAAATGACATTCCCTTGGTATTTACTTACCAAATGCGCAAACGCCGGATACTTCTGATTGGCGGACTTAAGTTGATTTACGTGCTGCTGGCATTTTTGTGGCACGTTGCCCAGATTGATTTCCGGCGTGCGGCAGCATGAGTTCACGTTCTGCCAAAATATTTCATTCAGTTCATTCAATATTCATTCATAATGCACGGACGATTCAATGTACTTACGAAATTGTTAAAATTCGGCGGCGATGAACAATTGTAGGCGGCATGGGCGTGGCGCAGCAACAACGACAGCTGCACATAAATATATAATTAAAGAGCGCGCGCATAAAAGGCTATTTACTCACCAATACCAATGCAGCGCACTGGAAAATTGTTGGTCGCATTTTCCGGAACTTTGTTTTATTGAAGTGTGGCAAATGAATAAAATTTGTGCGCCAGCGAATCGCTGCTTTATATAGTCAACCGGAAAACATATTCTAATGAGCTAATGTTATCGTCATCCTAATGAAAACAAAATGCTGCCTTTGGTCCAATGCGTCGATTGAAGGTGACACATCCGAAAAACAAAAAAAAAACAAAAAAATTGGCCAACTGATGGGCAGAGTGCGTCGACTGATACGTGATTACTTTCACCAGGCAACTGACTGACAGTGCGTGACCAGGGTAAACAGTCATTTTTTGTGGGGGAAATACCAGCAGCTAAATGGGTTTTAATATCCACTAAATACCCTGATTTTGATTGAATCAAATGCTTAGTCGTTTGGATAGTCACGATATATTCGTTTGTGTAACAGTCTACATAAGTTTATAAGAAGTAACATATTATTTCGTTCGTCTATCCTCCAATTGTAATAGCTATTATAGAGCCGTCCTCAGTAAATGGGCTTTCTAAGTAATAGATCCGAACAACGAGTCCAACGAAGGGGCTTTAGATTCAGTTGAGGGTTTGGATATAGTAAAGTATTGTCTTAAGCAAAGGCTTTATAAGCTAGTAATAGATATTTAAAAAATATGGGTTGATAGTTTGATAGGTTATATCGTACACTAAAATAATAATAATAATAATAATAATAATAATAATAATAATAATAATATTAATAATAATAATAATAATAATAATTATAAGAATAATAATAATAATAATAATAATAATAATAATAATAATAATAATAATAATAATAATTATAATAATAATAATAATAATAATAATAATAATAATAATAATAATAATAATAATAATAATAATAATAATAATAATAATAATAATAATAACAAAATAATAATAATAATAATAATAATAATAATAATAATAATAATAGTAATAATAATATTAATAATAATAATAATAATAATAATAATAATAGTAATAGTAATAATAATAATAATAATAATAATAATAATAATAATAATAATAATAATAATAATAATAATAATAATTAAAATCATAGTATAGTTTGATTTTTTGTATGTCCATCCATAGTCCTGATTCGTACGTATGCATCATTCAAGCATCTGACCTCATTGTCCCGACAGATGCATTTCCATTGTAGAATTGCTCAAGAACCTTCAGCTTATCTCACGCACCTGAACTACAATCTAATATGACAAATAAATAGAAAGATGTGTCAAAACAATTTCAATGCAACTAATTAGTAATGCATATAATTCATAAGGGCTCAATTGCTGGTATCAGCACGTCTCAGCTGAGTTAAACAGTTGACGACGATGCAGCCTTCAAAAGGAGTTAGTTCATAAATGCATGAGTAATGTGCGTAATCAGATTGTTGTTGGCTCAATGCCAACAAGTCGCCAGCTATTGTTGTTGATGCTATTGCTAAGCATCCACACCACCCACTCGGCTGGTAGCTCACTTGAGTCAGCGCATTGTTCAACTTCATTATCATCAACGTTTTCATCTCCATTGACGCTAGGTTTCAGTCTCATATGCTTGGCGGTTGCCTTGAGCTCATAACCGAGCCGAGCGTTGATGGGTTTTTTTTTTGGGTTGTAATCCGAGCTACGTGCAGGAGATTAAAGACATTAAATATTTTGAGTATTGTTTGCGTCAGGTAAGTAGCATTTAAGATTAAGTTATATGCGTTAAATTAAAGATTTAAGGTTCACAATATTTTAATTTCTGTACTTCAGCGACATCATCTGAACCCCTTCTTCGTACAAGTTTTGTACACACTCTGATAAAGCTTTATTAATTAAATGGATACATTATCAAGACTCAATCAAATATTGAAGTTTCTTTCTGCAGAAGATATATCCAAAATTATAAAAAAATTATTTTTTAAGGCAATTACGACTTTTATTCATCATATTCATTCATTCATCATCATTTATCTTATGTTTAACATTTGATAATTTGGTGTATCAATTTATTATACGAGCGTTTAGTAATCCTAAATATATTTTTTATGTTTTGTGTTTTGTATCTTGCTCTAGAGGTATCCTAATTGTCGTTGTATAAAATAAATGGCACTTATTTAAATTACTAGAACTTTAACTACGTACTTCAACTACGTGCCTTCATAACTTTCCCCAGCAATTGACAGCGATAGGGTATATAAATGTCCATCAGAAGGCCAGCTGAAGTGCAACAATAGTCAATTCATGGCCCAATCGCAGTCAACTCTTTGCCACAATGCGAAAACAGCTTGCCCTGATAGTTTTTCCCGACTGGATGAGGGAAAATTGAAAAACTTTTCCACAGTGTGTCTTAGCAATCAATCTAGGACTCGATGCCAAAGCACTTTAGACATACTTGAAAATCACTTTTATAGGTTGCTTAGATGCTAAATGTCTGGCGTTAAATTCAATTGGCTGGGGCTATGGCATGTCCTTGCCGTGAATGTGGATGAGCGCTTTAATATGCATAAGGATATACGCACACAAGGCACGCAGCGGCTGCAGGACATTTACGGCGAACATGTCTTTGCTCTCGGCAATGAATTTTTCAAATGGAATTTAAATGCTCTCGAGTGGCAGTTGACATTAGCATTTATTTTTGCAGAAGGTTGTCCGTGTTGTTGTTGTTGTCGTTGTTGTTGTTAAGGCCGTTAAGGACGCTTGCCGAATGTGTCAGACGCATTCAGCCCTCAGCTGTTTGGGGCCAAAATGTTTGTCATTGTGTTATTATCAGCCGGCTCCATGTCGGCTTTTTATTTAAATACGTAGGTGTGTGTGTGGGGGTGTTTGGGTGTGCATGTTGGGGTATCTTTGTTTTCACTGATTTATTTTTTGTTTTTTTTTTCAATTTGCGTGTGCCTTAAGGCAATTTCAGTTGAAGCACCTGTCGCATATTGTGATTTTTAATAAATGTCTACACGCGTCGTACTTGAGTTTAATTTGATTAGCTACGAGCTGAAACTGAGCTTTGGCCGGGCGCAAGTTCAAAGGCAATCCAAAATGATATCCTTTTGCCTGCATTTTCCGTCCGCCGGCAACTAAGCAAACACAGTTCCCGAAAGGGCAGCAAAATGCTACTCAAACATTGGGCATGACAAATATTTGCATAATCAAATGAGCAGATTTTCAGGCGCTTTAGCGAGTGGTTTGCGACAAAAAGAAATTGCATTTCCTTGGAAAA